GGGTTTCATCCTAAGTTTCCATATTTGACGGAAAATCGACAGTGTGGATTTCGGTTCCCACAGTTTGGCGCTAGAAGGAGGGGAGGACGGATTCTCTTACACAATAATCGCTAAAACGAACGAGAAATAACATGCCTAATCTGAACGGCGACGTCATCTCGTTCGACAAAAGAGCAACGATCGATTCGGTCAAACCTCTCAACGATCTTCTCGTTATTGAGCTGACGATCCGAAATATGGATGTCGCGAGGATATTAGTCGATACCGGAAGCTCGGCTGATATCATCTTCAAAAATACTCTCCAGAGAATGGAAATCGATCTGTCTGAAATCGCGGAAAACGTAAGCCCGCTAGTAGGACTCTCGGGAGAAATCACTATGACCCTCGGAACGATCAACTTGGCGGTTCGCGCCGGGAGCATAGTGAAAAACGTCGAATTCGAAGTCGTCGACCGACCTATGTCTTACAACGCAATCGTAGGGACACCGTGGTTAAATTCGATGCAAGCGATTCCGTCGACGTACCATATGTGTCTCAAGTTTCCGACTCCGAACGGGATCGAGACTATATGGGGAAATCGAAGAACCTCGCAGGTTTGCTATGCCGCAGATTTAAAAGGAAAAAATCGGCCGGTCGATATCTCTTCCAAAAAGAAAAAGAGGTTGACATCCCTCGACAACTCCCCAGAGCAAGATAAAACGGAACTCTTCTGGCAGTTGCGAGCGGCCGAGGCTTTGGAAGGTAAACGCGAACCAACCTGCGAACCCGTCATCTCGGTATGCATCGGCGAGAATTTTCCAGAACGCTGCGTCGAAATCGTTGCGAACCTGAGCGAGACCTTAAAAGTCGAACTCCTGACATGTCTGAAACGAAACTCGAACACATTCGCTTGGACTGCGGAAGATATGCCAGGGATCGACATAAACATCACATGTCACGAACTCAACGTTGACCCGACATCCAAACCCGTCAAACAAAAAAGACGAAAACTGGGGCCGGAACGCGCCGAAGCGGTCAACAGCAAAGTCGAAAGACTCCTCAAAGTGGGATATATCACAGAAGTTCGATATCCTGACTGGCTCGCCAATCCCGTTGTCGCAAAGAAAAATAACGGAAAATGGCGAGTCTGCGTCGATTTCACCGATCTCAATAAAGCGTGTCCGAAAGATAGCTATCCGCTACCGCACATTGACCGTTTAGTCGAGGCAACCGCGGGAAACAAAATCTTATCTTTTATGGACGCCTTCTCGGGATACAATCAGATCATGATGAATCCCGACGATCGGGAAAAAACCGCATTCATAGCCGATCGTGGAACCTACTGCTATAAAGTGATTTTCTGATGGATCAATCCCTTGTGTAGAAGTGCCCTTTAATCAAGAGAATGAAATCCGATTACGATCACAGACAAGTTCTTACAGAGAATGAACTCTTGGCATTACGATGTTCATAAGAACAAAGGATTCAACAAAAATAAAAGTAGATTTTATTAAAAAGTTGAATGAATAAAACAATACATAGGAATGCCTTTATATAATAGGCTGTGTGCTAGACTAAGGTTCTAAATTTATTTTAGGAAAGTGAAAATACATAACTAAGGTGGACTTGACCAAAGACCAAGACTTTTGACCGAATTTTGAAAGTTGTTGTCGCAAAACTCTTCGTCTGGTCGCGTCCTTTCGCATGGTACACGGTCTTTGAATTGCCGTCAGATTGATATATTATATGACCATATCTTGTACTTTCTTGTTGGGCTTTTCTTTCTTTGAACTGAAGCATGATCATAAGCACATTTTTAGTAAATTTTAAAGCCCATGTCGATTAAAAACAAGAGAAAATAGTGTTTAAGCCAAATAGCTTAGGACATTGTCCCTTTAGGTTAATTTGATTCACTTATTGTCTCATTAGGCTAAATATTTCCTAAATTGCAATCCTATCCTTAAATTAGATAATTTTAATTATTAATTCGTAATTAAGTTAATTATAATTATAAAAAATTGAATTTTGTTTTTAATAAATATTAAAATATAATATTACACTAAAACGAAAAAAAAAAAAATTTCTGCCCCCTCTCTAAACCTAATTGGAATGGATCGACGTCTCCAAGCTCTCTTTGATTGTAATCTCCCGACGTCTCTCTCTGTCTCTCTCAGTCCCGACGTCTCTCTCTCTCATTCCCGACGTCGCTCTCTCTCTCTCAGTCCCGACGTCGCTCTCTCTCTCTCAGTCCCGACGTCGCTCTCTCTCTCTCTCTCTCTCTCTCTCTCTCTCTCAGAGTCCCGACGTCTCTCTGCCATCTCCCTTTCTCTCCCGACGAGAACTGTCGGCACCTCCGCCACTCGCCCTTCTCTGTCGGCTCCGCCACTCACCTTCTCCTGCGACGCCGCTCTCCCTCTCTCTCTCGGTTTCCAGTCTCTCTCGGTTCCCTGTCTCTCCACCATCTCCATGTCTCTCTCGGTTCCCGTCATCACTGTCGTCACCTCCACCACTCTCCGCCATCTCCCTTTCTCCCCCGAGCGTCTCACCGGAGCGTCTCGGTTTCCACAAGCCGCTGAGTCAACGTGTGACCGGTGGAGGAGTCACGGCATAGAACAGCTTAAACGTCAAGGTTTACAGGCATGACTCTATCCTTTTCTTTGTACTCTGTTCTGCTTCATTAGTTAGTGGTTGAATCTAGTTGGAGGGCACGAGTTCGATTCCCTTTGAGAGGGATAGCTTGTTAAATTTTGAACCTCTGCTTGTTTTTTTAATAACAAGGTTGAATCTTGGTGTGTTCTATCTGAAAAAAGGTTGATACTTGGTGTGTTATGTTCTGTCTTAAAAAGGTTGAATCTTTGTGTGTTTCGTCTGAAAAAGGTTGACTTTCTGTCTAGAAAAGGTAGAATCTTTGTGTATTCTATCTGAGAAAGGTTTAATCTTGGTGTGTTTTATCTGAAAAAGCTTGAATCTTGGCGTGTTTTATCTGAAAAGGCTTGAATTTTGGTGTTTTGTTTGAAAAAGACTGAATCTTGTGTGTTCTGTCTGACGAAGGTTGAATCTTTGTCTGCTCTGTCTGAATAAGGTTGAATCTTGGTGTGTCCTGTCCTAAAAAGGGTATATCTTGGTGTGCTCTGTATGTAAAGATTGAATCTTTGTGTGTGTGTTTTTGATAAAGGCTGAATCTTTTTGTTTTTTTTTTTTGCTAAAAATTGAATCTTTGGTGTTGTTATTGTTTTTTCTTGTTGTGTGTGTCTTGTTGTGAATCTTTGTGGTGTGTGCTTTACGTTCTAGCATCCAGGGGCATAAAGAACGGATCAACGAGGACATGAACACAAGAACCTTATTACAGTAGCCTTATTTGAGAACATGAACAGAAGAACAATTAGCTTAGGACATTATCTTGCTCTGTTCTTGTAAGACTAGTTCTAGATGTGATAGAATCGTAATTAGGTTCGAAGAGTTGGTTGCTGTGTTCTTATAAAGTTATTTCATGTATCAATACCTGTGTGTGGCTACTTTCATGATAAGGCAATTACACTGAGAATTTCTATTTTTGTTCATTTCTAGTTTATTAAGATTGATAGAGTTATAAGAGATATTATTTTACTGAGCTGCGACATTGATTATTCATATATATTGTCTTCATTTTACAGCTATGGAGTTGGAGCTGCCTAGGCGTCTATATGCAGAAGGGTTGGAACCTCTGACTAAGAAGATCAATAACAGCTGCCGAATGAAATTTCTCGAGCTTCTACGGTCAAATTGGAGCCTGAATTCAATGAAGTCAAGAACGATCCCCTTTTCTCGCATATTATAGCTATTGAGAAGAATCAGCTGAATTTTTCTGCGAGGGTGGTACACGCGTTCCTCAGTAAGGAGTTGATGACAAGCTTGAAGCATGGGAAATGGTTTACATTTGCGGGGAGGCCTCTGCGTTTTGGATTGCAAGAGTATCATGCTGTCACTGGTCTGAAAGTGAAACAAGATAATACCAGTGGGTTATTGAGATGGAATGATGATGGTGGTTTTTGGAGCAACCAGATAAAGACGCGTGGGAAAATCAGCGTGCAGGATATTAAAAAGGAGTATTTGGATGACTGTAGCACCTGGACTTTTGTTGATAGGGTGAGGCTGGTCTATCTATGTGTCATTATGGGTGTGATCTTTGGGAGGGATTAGAAGGTGAATATCCCGCTTGAGTACATAAAGTTGGTGATGGATTTTGAGAAGCTTCGGAAGTACCCTTGGGGTTTGCACTCGTATGATTTCCTACTGAAATAGATGGTAAAGGCAAGGCGTAAATTGGAGCACAAGGAGGGGTACCTGATGGAAGGGTTCTTGTATGCTTTCCAGGTTTGGGTTATGGAAGCTATTCTTGCTTTGGGAGAGATGTGTGGGACGAAGGTCACGGATGATTTCATGGGTCCTCTGTGTGGTAATTGGACAGGTTGTGCAAAATGTTCATATGAAGACATCATTGGGGTTGAGACATTATTTCCAGCGAAGGTATGAATAGATTTCTGTAATAAAAATGTTTGATTGTCTTGTTTATTTTAGTAATGATTTTAATCTCTTCAAAATTGTGTATTAAAAATGTTTTATTGTCTAAATCATTTTACTAATGATTTCAATCTCTTGTAGGGGATTTCGCCCTCATTCCTCGAAGTAGGCGGAGATGGAGTGGTCCTTTTGGGTTCAGATTTTGCAAGGAAGGATGAGAAAAAAGATGAAAGAGTTGAGCGCTTAGTGGATATGATCAAAGGAAACTACGATTGGAGCAATCATGTTTGGGGAGTATCGGAAGGAGGTCCAGGGTCTGAAATGGTGGAATCTGAGGAAGAGAAAGAAGAGGAAGGAGATGCCGATGCTGATACTGAGATTGGCGAGAGTAGTCATGTTACACCGGATGTGGATTCAGGTACAAAGAAGAGAAAGAATGCTGACCAAGGAGCAGATGCAAGGAAGAAGAAGTTGTTGTGCCAGCTAGCTGCTTCAAACAAGGGGAGCGGGAGGACACAGACATGAAGCAATTCTTCGAAGGTTTGCTAAAAGCTTCATTTACTGCTTTTGAGGGGAAAATCGTTCAACAGTTCTCCGATAGAATCGACAAGATAGAGACAGCGGTAACAAGCAGGCTCGGGAAGTTGGAGAGTGAGGTTTCACAGCTCAGGACCGCATTAGTCCTCACCGAAATGGTGGGAAAGACTGATCAACATACCGGTCCTAGCAAGAGTGGAGTAGACACAGCTCCTGCCTTCACCCAAAAAGACACACTTCCTGCCTTCTCCAAGAAAGACAGAGCTCCAGCCAAGACCAAAAAAGTCACAGCTCCTGCCATCTCCAAAAATGACACAGCTCCTGCCATCTCCAAAAAGACACAGCTCCTGCCAAGAGTCAAAATGAAACAACTTCTGCAAAGAGTACAAAAGTCACAGGTCCACAAACAAGAAAGGTAACGAATAAGATAAAGGGTTAAGGATTGTTGAATCTTGGAACTAGTTGTTTGGAAGTAGTTTTTGGACCTAGGATGCTGGAACTTGGAACAAGGTGGTATGACATTTTGTTTGTCTAGTGTGGTATGTTTGTATTAGGAACTTGTTGGATGTATGTGTGGTATTATGATATGTAATATATGGTTAGAACTTGGCTATTACTTGGAACTTAATTTTGAAGTTAATGTTGTGTAATATGTTTAAATTAAAAACTTATTACTTTTTATGTGTGTAATAGGGCTGCGAAAAAAAAGAATTAATCACCGATGATCCTCTTATTGATTTACCTGGAGTAAACTTGACTCTAACACCAGGAATTGATGTTCATATGAGTATACAAGATTACTTGCAAAGCTGCTTCCAAGACCTTTCACAGGATACATTTGTAGAGGGTTTTGATCCTTCTCAGCCTAAAACCGATGATCCTTTGGCTTTGTCCTCTCCAGGAACATCAGAGAAGATAGATGTTCGGGAATTAAATGACTATCAAATTTTACGAGCCGGTGAGAACGATCCTGATGCGCAATTGGTATATGTGGATCCAGAAAATTTTAAAAGACTTCAAGAGTGGCAGGACTTAAGAACGTAAGTTAATCCTACTATAATCTACTATATGTTATTGTATAATGTTGTAACTAATTTTTTTTTTTTTAAACAGAGGTTTACAGGTTTGTCCTTGTTTTTTAAATGAGGCAATATGTACTCGCATTATAAGTCAATTCAAGTGGATTCACAACATTGTAAGCATCCAAATCCTAACTTCTAATAAAGTATAGGTGTTATTTAGGCTGTCTACTAACATCAGCCTTGCAATTGTAGGAGATTGATGCTATGATGTATGTATTCTGGGAAAGAACAACACTCGGACGATGGAAAACAGATCGTGTTGCTTTCATGTCATGCGTGTTTAGTGACCTCATTAGAAGCGAGTACATCAATTTTAAGAAAGGTGGTGCGAAGAAGTACACTATGGATAGGTTGCTATCAGAATACGGCAAAGGCGAACTGCCTTCTCACGGAAAAACAAGAAAGGTGTGGGGTGTTGGTGTAGATCGTTTGTATGTTCCAGTTTGGGCCAATTAGAATCACTGGATCGCGTTATGCATCAGTTTCATGATTAGGCATATCGATGTGTTTGATTGCTCGGGTTTACAGAGGTACAGAAAGGTTGAAGCATTCATGGTACTTATTCCTAGGATCGTCAAGGCCGTTCAGTCGGTGAAAAACCAGAAGAATCTCACAATCATAGCGTACACGGTAAGCTATACCCCTATGCATAATCTCAACCAACGTGCTTGTCATTGTGGTGTGTATGCTATAAAACACATCGAATGACATGCGATTGGGTTAGATTTGTCGTTGATTAGTGATGATAATATCAAGACAGCTCGGATTAGAATGCTTTGGGATCTATGGGAAGCCGGTAATGATCCAGAGTTGCTGGAGAGGATGTCAAAGTATGAGCGTCCCGCTTATAAGCATAACAAATGTATTGATATTTCATGATCAATTGTATTTGAGGTTTAAGCTATATTTGTAAGATGTTAATGCTATATTTCAGAGGATGTTTAAGGTATTGTATAACATATGGTTTGTTTCCTTATTTTTTAAAACTTTTATCTTCACTTCGAGGATGTTTAAGCTATCGTATAACTTTTATACCTTACTTAGACACTATAACTTTTTAAAAAGTATTTAAAATTGTAAATTATATTATTAATTTTTTAAAAAGTTAATATATGTTTTTTTTAAATGTTAATATGTGTTATATAGTTATATTTAGAAATATATATTATCTTGTAAACCTTACTTAGACACTATACCGCAAATGGGGACTTATACCCTAAACCTTTTTCTAAAAAGTATTTAAATTTGTCAATTATATTATTAATTTTAAAAACAAATTTAATATATGTTTTTAAAAAAATGTTAATATGTGTTATATAGTTATATTTATAACTATATATTATATTTTAAACCTTACTTAGACACTATAACTTTTTAAGAAGTATTTAAATTTGTAAATTATATTATTAATTTTTTAAAACAAAGTTAACATATGTTTTTTTTAAATGTTAATATGTGTTATATAGTTATATTTAGAACTATATATTATCTTTTAAACCTTACTTAGACACTATACCGCAAATGGGGACTTATACCCTAAACCTTTTTCTAAAAAGTATTTAAATTTGTCAATTATATTGTTAATTTAAAAAACAAAGTTAATATATGTTTAAAAAAATGTTAATATGTGTTATATAGTTATATTTAGAACTATATATTATCGTTTAAACCTTACTTAGACACTATACCGCAAATGGGGACTTATACCCTAAACCTTTTTTAAAAAAGTATTTAAATTTGTAAATTATATTATTAATTTTAAAAACAAATTTAATATATGTTTTTTAAAAAAAAAGTTAATATGTGTTATATAGTTATATTTAGAACTATATATTATCTTTTAAACCTTACTTAGACACTATACCGCAAATGGGGACTTGTACCCTAAACCTTTTTTTAAAGTATTTAAATTTAAAAATTATATTACTAATTTAAAAAATGAAGTTAATATATGCTTTTTTAAATGTTAACATGTGTTATATAGTTATATTTAGAACTAAAAAGGATTTAAATTTGTAAATTTTATATATATATATATATATATATATATATATAAAATATAGGTTACCCTAAACTAGACAGGCCCGTTCTTACCCTAAATTCGGACCCGAAAAAGACCCTTTTTCTGTACATATTGTCAAACATGAATACAGAGAGACGATTCTGTGTAGGAGTACCATCTCGATGTTGGTGTAGAAATAGGGTTGTGATATTCTACTCAAAAACTGATGAAAACCCGTACAGAAGATTCTACAGATGCGAGATTGGGTTACAGGTTTCAATTATTAAGTGTATTTGTTCTATACTATATTTGAGATTAGTTTGTTCTTATTTTCTTATGGGTTTTGATGTAGCGGAAGAGGGAACTCCATTTATTTAAGTGGTGTGATGAAGCGTTGCTTGATGAGATTCGAAGGGTAGATATTCAGCAAAGCAGAATTGCAGAGGAGATTCAAGATCTGAAAAGGATTTTGCAGAAGATGGAAGATGAAAAAGTTAGTAAGAAGATTAAGTCCGATGATCTGGGTTGTTTAGGGTCTATTATTTTTCTTTTTCGAAAATTATGTACCCAAGAATGAATGAAATAGATACACTGGTTCCTGGGATTTATTCATGCCTCCAATGTTTATGTTTCAGAGTTTTTTTACAGCCAAATTCAAGGCGAGATATCATATGATCAACAAGAGAATATAACAAAATTTAAAACATGAAACAATCTTGTTTGAAACTGAATGCGTATTACTTGAAACATGAAGCAAACTTGTTCGAATCTGAAACATGAAGCAAACTTGAAGCAAACTTGTTTGAAACTGAAACATGAAGCAAACTTGTTCAAAACTAACCAAATACAGTCTGAAAATCTGAAACAAAGTGGTGAAAAAAACAGCAAACAAAGCGACTATATTGGCATCTTGCAAGTTGATCTGTTGTGGCACCAAAACCACACCTGCTGCACCTGCGAAGCTTAGGTCCATGTGATCCTTGTGATGATCGAATTTTTTCTTCAATGGTTTCGTATCTTTTTTTTCTGTTTCTTCCAAGAGACCTTCTTGTCTCAGGCGGTAACACCAGAATTTTCCACATCTTCAGGGACAGACCAAGCATCTTCAGGAACAGCAATGGGATTTATGCTTTCTTGATAAGCTTCTCTCCAAGCTCCCATGGTGTACATCAAATCAGTCAACGTGTGTGGTTGTTTGCCAACAGAGAAACCAGCTTTTATCTCGTGTCTACAAGGAATTTTCAAGAGGTTGTACTTCCCACATGAGCACATCCGTTTATCCAAATCAACGAAGCAGTCAATTGTATCACCCTTAACAAGAAACTGGTAGTCGTTTTCAGGGTAAACTATAAAAGGTTTACCTTTCTCGATTCTCCTATCAATCTTTTCCTCCCATCTATGGTCAACGGATGTGTATGCTTTGAAATCTTCCTCTTATGCTTTAAAAACCACCATGTTAGCATTTCTCTAATGCTGTCCAAGAAAGGAATTACCGAAAACTCTCTTGGCGTGCGCAAGGCAGAATTAATAGATTCAGCAGGATTGGTTGTTCTAATGTCATACCGGCATCCAAAAAATTGACATCTAGCCCACTTTCGAACATCAGCTTGTGTTAGATAAGTTCCTATTAGTGGACTGATATTGCAAATATGAGCAAACGTCTTCTTGAAATCAGCCACTCTATAAGCCTTTGAAGCCTTAGAAATCAACCCAGCTAACCCCTTTCCCCTGTAATTTGAAATCACATTGTTCAACAAGTGATGAATACAAATCCCATGTTTTGCTAGCGGATACACGTTCTCAAGAGCCTTCCCTATAGACATTTGTCTGTCCGAAATAAAAGCCAGCCCCATATCATCAGCAATAAATTCTTTCAGTCGTCTCATAAACCATTCCCAAGCATGATCATTCTCAGAGTCTACTACCCCAAAAGCTATAGGGTACAAATTACAAGCACCCCCTTGAAATGGGTGCATGTACATCATACCTCCTACGGTGGTTGCCAAATTTCCATCTAAAGTAGTGGCAACCAATAGAACTCCTTTGAATTTATTCTTCAAGAATGTTCAATCAACAACAATAACACACCTCATGACTTTGTTAAAGCCTCTAATCGACTGACCAAATGCTAAAAAAAAGATAGAGAAAGCGACTAATGATGTCAGTCTCATAAGCGGAATGTGTTCCCGGATTGGTCTCTCACAGCATGTGCAAATACTTCGGTATTTTACCATAGCTTAGCTCTGGAATACCTCTGATGGCGCTGACTGAAAATTCACGAGAATCCCATGCCAAGGATTCAGAGATCTCACATGTGGGAACCGAAATCCACCTACTGGCAATAAATCGTAAAAAAGGAAACTTCGGGAAAAACCCTAAGTTTCCAGAGGAACCGGCTATCTGTAGAACCGCACAACGTAGATTAAGAAAACGATAAACTTAGAATTTAAAAGAGAATAAACGAAATTGAGAGCAAAGAGGTTCTTATTCCGAATCTGCATAAGAACTGGTACAAAGAGAGTAGCCAAAAAGTCCAAGAACGAAAAACCCTAGTTGAGACGCAGCTCGCTAACAGAAAACGGAAATATTCCTAAATGCTAATTTTGGCGGTTTTAGTCTTTCCATTTCGCCCGAAACCGAATATATCGGGAATTTTCCATTTCTGTCGATCCTTCCTTTTCTTCCGCGGAAATCTTCTATTTATCTTCAAACTTGCCTTTTATCTTCTGTCCGCGAGTAAACCACCAAAACGTTATCGTATCTTCGGGTTTGATTTCGTTAATATCGCGAGATGGGGTTTTATCGTGTTTTAGGACCTTTCGGGCCGTTTTACGATAAAAACCATTTTACGACTTTATACGAGACCGTTTCCTGATCCGATGCCGTTATTACGATCTTCTCGACGTTTTTTATTAAAAACGCGTTTTTTATAATCTTAACGAAAAATCTCGGATAAATCGTATAGTTTAGGCGATGTTCGGTGTCTTGCTTAACCGTTACCGTTTTATAAGATTTCTTCGAGTTCTTTTTGAGAAAGCGGAGTTTTACGGTTTTTCGCGGTTTTGTAAAACGATTTCTCGAGTTTTATAAAACAATCTTCGAGTTTTATAAAACGGCTTCTCGAGTTTTATAAAACGGCTTCTCGAGTTTTATAAAACGATCTTCGAGTT